ATTACGAAAATTATTGCGAACTGGATAATAAAAGCACCAATAACACCGGCTACATCCAGGTACTACAATATATACGGATGTTTGGAGAGCGTACAGACTCCTATATAGGCTTGGTTATGTGCATCGTGTCGTTATCCACAAGTAGCATTTTGTGTACTAAACAACTGGAGTGCACATAAACAATATTGAAGCTATGTGATCGAGGTTGAAAGTTTTTGAGACTTTGTCATGACTCCAGAGACCGTCTATTCTGTAGCTGTATGGATGATTTCCTCTACTGCATGCATTACGATTTTAGAACCTCTTTCTAGTCTTGACAGGTTTTTGAACCACGTATAAGAAGTGTATTCACTTTATTTCCTTGATTTTGTATAGCATATTTTTACTCTATACTGACTGTTTCCTGTTTGTCTAATATTTCTCAAGGTCACGTAATATTCGTTCAAAGATTGTCCATAAATTAGTCTCACCGTGTTTTTTTTTAATTCCGTGAGTTCCAATCATTATTTCAGTGTTCTGGAGCCTTCCCTCCCAAACTTTATTTATTCGAAACGAAATTTCATGACCTCATTAACTCTATCGGGATCTTTGCTACATCATGATACATATATTCATCCTTAATCACCCTCTTATGTTTAAGTAAATCAATATCTTTAATACCATTGATTTTCAAATATTTTAGGTTGTAAGCAGCTGATGAGAACCTAACGAAATAAAATGAATTCATATTATTCTGCACCAATCTTTGTTCTTGCTCTCGTTAAGTTGTAAAGGGAACTATGTGTATGAGTCAATTGAAGCTAAACAATCACGGATAGCCTGGAAACACGGGATGACCGTTTCATCTTATTGTGGGACTCCTCAGCAATGCACCGTTGAATGCCAGCTCAGTGGTCTATACGTTAGGCATTCGCGTGTGAGACTGATAAGTCCTGGGTTCGAATCTCACGAGGCGGGATGTGCACTGCTGAATAGTTCCATACTATGATTGGACTTTCATGATGGTCTAGCTTCAATTAATTCATGATCTCAACTATTAAATTTATTATAATATCTACAGAAACCCCTTCTGATATTAATATTCATTTGTCAACATAACTTACCATTTATACTGGATTATTGGAAAAAAAATCCATTTAGAAATATTCAACACATGTTCCAGTAAAATAAACACAGACTCATTTAACAATGAAAAAAAACCCCACTTTCAACAAACATTAATCTTTGTTCAAACAAAATACAATTAGTTGTAGTACACACACAATTAACAAACTATTTAGGTCAAATAATCATGTAAATGAATAAGAATAAATTATATTCACTATTGGTTTGTTTGTTTGTTTTCCTTTCCATCCGTTAACGTAATGAAGCTACTGAAGACAAAACAATAATAATAATAATAATAATAATAAAGATTTCAATTTCCGGTTCATAATGTCTATATACACAAAGATAGTTGTATAATGGAATAGCACACATAGATTATATTGCCAATCAAATATATAATGTTTCATGTGTAACTTTCTAACTGAAATGACATTTTATATTTTGTAACTATGTAATACTAGTCTATTAGGAAAATTAATTTACAGATTATTAAAACAAGTTCATATAAGGTACCATTTATTATAAATGTTAATTGTTTTATCTTAATAGTGTTTAAATATAAACAGAATATGTACAACAATATAACAAAAAATGTACTTCATACAGTAACTAGTCATATATGTAGATGAATTCTTCTCTCTAATTATATCATTTCAATTGAAATACTTACTTACTTACGCCTGTTACTCCCAATGGAGCATAGGCCGCCGACCAGCATTCTCCAACCCACTCTGTCCTGGGCCTTCTTTTCTAATTCCATCCAATTCTTGTTCATCTTTTTCATGTCTATTTCCATTTCTCGGCGTAATGTGTTCTTTGGTCTTCCTCTCCTCCTTTGGCCTTGAGGATTTCATGTGAGGGCTTGTCTTGTGAAATAATAAATAAAATATACGGTAATATTATTAGGTATTTTACCTTTGAGATTTGCATTAGTAACAATGTATAATTCGAATATATTTTATCTTATTCTTAGTAATAATGAGCTTTGGATTTGTTTATTACTGTCAACAACATATACGGATTATTACAAACTACAGTCTTATTTATTTAACATGTTAATGATTATTTTCAAATGAATTTTTAAAAGATTTAACTTTTACGTACGTGGGTAACATCACTGATAAACAATAAGGATTTGATGCAGATCTAATGGCACGGACTGGCAGATTAAGGGAAATATTTCTATAACTGAAGAACATCTGGAACTCAAAAAAAACTATCAGCAGACATCAGTCATATTTTTCAATACAAACATCAAGTTAGTTCTACTATACGTAACTGAGACATGGAGAACTACCACAACCATCATTAAAAAAATACAAGTATTTTTAAACAATTGACTATGCAAGATAACACCGAAATTTCCGCATTCCATCCTGTTTCGAATAATGATGGTGCACCTTTAAGAGGTGTAAAACGAGTGCAAAATACCTACTAAATTATCCCTGATTTTGAACAATTCTATAGTTGACATCATTACGTGATGAAAATTAAACTAGAAATATATTATTTAATACTGGAAATAATTTATCGTATCTAGTAAAAGATAAAACAGAAATTCGAGTGATGTTATTCTCATTGAGAGAGTCAGTCAGTTAATTGTCAACGTAGATCCAAGGACTAGTGAGATAGTTACAGGTAAACATGAAATTTTCTGAATCAATTGTTAGGAAATCTTTTATATGATATAATCAGTAAGAAAACCTAAAAATGTTTACAAATACTAACCAGATAGTTAGTTATTGCGCAGCATCTAAGACGCAGTATGATTATGTATCTGTGTAAGTTGCCACACGTGACATTAAAATAGCGGGAAACACTAGTTTTCTTATCAATTATAAGAGAAATCAAATATAAAATCAATGATTAGACTTGATACAATGTGTTTATATTTATCAACATTTTAAAGCTGATAGGTGACATGCTATAAGAATACAAACGATAATAGTAATATAGAAAAAATATATGTACATATCAAGATGCATGTAAGAATATAAAGCGAAAATTCAGTTGACCTTTGAACAATATTTTCGTCCTTAAGAGAAAGATTGAAAAAAAAGTAACTTTTTAAACCTTTAAATTTCATTGATTTTTCGGTTTGATATTACTAAGGGCACAATAAATTTCAGCGAACTATACTTACTATCTGTCTACTTTGTTATGTAGTGAATTCATTGTATTAATGTTACGGAAATTACTATTGTGTAAAATGATGATCAATATTTACCTGAAGTGGTATTTTGAAGTAGATTAGAATGATAATGAAATTTAGTGTATCTTTTTAAAATTCCGTATTAAAATGACTGAGCTTATTTGTAACCAAGTGTCAGTTTTCTAACATATAAACAAACCCCTTATAAAACTGGGTCAATTGTTTTAAATACATCATCATCATCATTCCTCAGACTCGAACCCTATTCCATCTACTTTCACTTAGACAGTCGGATAGTAACACGAACCTCCATACAAAAGTAGATTATATTTAAAGATGTATTTAGAAAATGCGTCGTATTGAAAATTATTTATTGGTGAAATTTTTTTAGAAGAAATGATTTACATTCAATTAAAAGACGTTAGTAATGTAATTTTCTACTCATTAGGATACTACTACTATATAAATATATATATAATCTTTTAAACATATTGTTAGGTATTGTGATCAAACAAAACAATCTAAACTGAATAGAAATGGTATACTTTATCGAAAGCAAATGAAGCGTAGAATAAGAGTGAAATTTAATTCGTTTTTTTTCTCATAAACTCCTGGATTACAATTAATCAGCATACAAAAATATATTAATGCTGGAATAGGTTAGTTAAATTGTTTGTACAAGCTGAATGGATCTTTTTTTCCCCACATATTCATATTGAACACATTCAGGATTATGATGTTTATTTTATCTTGTTTGAACAAACAAAAACAAAATAACGAAATCACATATATCTAAGTGAACAACATCATCAACATTTGGATCGTAAAACACCAGTATATTAAGCTTTCAGGCATTGACATTTCATAACAAACTGATAAATTGATAAGATTAGAGTAAGTGGAAAAACTGAAGTTGTTTTTTCTATAAACTAATTTCATAAAGAAAGAAATGATTCAATTCATTCTCAATCTTCTCTATCAGTTACTACTCACCAGTATGTAAAATTAATCATAAAAAATAATTACTCTTATATTAATTAATATTATTAAATTATAAATTAAACAATACATAATCAATGTCAATGTTAAATTGAATAAAAAGTACTCATTGAATGGTTTGAAATTAAAAGAATATGGGTTAATAATAATAATAATAATAATGCAAGTTTAGCTTATTACACTATACACAACACAATTAAAATTATATTTGTTTACTGTTTCAAAATAATACAACTTGTACAATATTCAATAATAGATTTAATATAATAAAAGATTTTGTAGAAGAAAATTGTGCTTCTTTTCTATCAACTATGCATGATATATAATGGTATATCATTATTATCACTGGATTAAACAATGAATAGATCAGATTACATATATATATAAAAAACGAAAGAAATTCACAATAGAGAAATACGGGAAATAACCGAGAAAAAGAGGATGAATGATGGTGAATACTTGTTTCATAGAGATCTTTTTTTTAGATTTCTCATCATTATCATAACAATAAGACATAGTATGTTTATACATATACATTAATTGGATAAATAAGGGAAGGCAAATAAGGTGAGAATGAGAACGGGGTATAATGACAACCGGATATAAAAAATTAGATAATCTTTTAGGTGTTCTGTTTTCAACAATCGATGATCACTTTTTTTTTTGCAAATCTGTGTATATATCATTATGTAATATGGTTGTTGTTGTTATTATTTTGATTCTGATCACAATATTTATCAATTCAATCCATTGCATATGAGACAATTGCCATTGAAGTTAAACCAAAAAACATAAGAGTTAAATGAATAATTGATTCCCTAAAATAACAGAAGGTATAGTTAGTGAGTTATATATATGCGATAAAGCATTAAGTCAAGAAATATAAAAAAAAATTTTCGTAAACATTTTATTTTAGTTACATTTCTAAGAAAGAATATATGCAAATTAGTTTACTTAGCCATTAAAGAAGGATTGATGATTACTGTTTTATTCAATTTCCTTTAATTATAGAATCATATATGAAAAGGATGAATAACAACTGGAAAGAGCTGGAAAGGATTGCTCAGGACAAGTTCGGATAGAGAATGCTGGTGAGCGGCCTATACTACTTCACGAGGAGTGACAAGCGTAAGTAAGTAAGTAAGTAAGTAAGTAAGTAAGTAAGTAAGTAAGTAAGTAAGTAAGTAAGTAAGTAAGTAAGTAAGTAAGTAAGTAAGTAAGTAAGTAAGTAAGTAAGTAAGTAAGTAAGTAAGTAAGTAAGTAAGTAAGTAAGTAAGTAAGTAAGTAAGTAAGTAAGTAAGTAAGTAAGTAAGTAAGTAAGTAAGTAAGTAAGTAAGTAAGTAAGTAAGTAAGTAAGTAAGTAAGTAAGTAAGTAAGTAAGTAAGTAAGTAAGTAAGTAAGTAAGTAAGTAAGTAAGTAAGTAAGTAAGTAAGTAAGTAAGTAAGTAAGTAAGTAAGTAAGTAAGTAAGTAAGTAAGTAAGTAAGTAAGTAAGTAAGTAAGTAAGTAAGTAAGTAAGTAAGTAAGTAAGTAAGTAAGTAAGTAAGTAAGTAAGTAAGTAAGTAAGTAAGTAAGTAAGTAAGTAAGTAAGTAAGTAAGTAAGTAAGTAAGTAAGTAAGTAAGTAAGTAAGTAAGTAAGTAAGTAAGTAAGTAAGTAAGTAAGTGAGTAAGTAAGTAAGTAAGTAAGTAAGTAAGTAAGTAAGTAAGTAAGTAAGTAAGTAAGTAAGTAAGTAAGTAAGTAAGTAAGTAAGTAAGTAAGTAAGTAAGTAAGTAAGTAAGTAAGTAAGTAAGTAAGTAAGTAAGTAAGTAAGTAAGTAAGTAAGTAAGTAAGTAAGTAAGTAAGTAAGTAAGTAAGTAAGTAAGTAAGTAAGTAAGTAAGTAAGTAAGTAAGTAAGTAAGTAAGTAAGTAAGTAAGTAAGTAAGTAAGTAAGTAAGTAAGTAAGTAAGTAAGTAAGTAAGTAAGTAAGTAAGTAAGTAAGTAAGTAAGTAAGTAAGTAAGTAAGTAAGTAAGTAAGTAAGTAAGTAAGTAAGTAAGTAAGTAAGTAAGTAAGTAAGTAAGTAAGTAAGTAAGTAAGTAAGTAAGTAAGTAAGTAAGTAAGTAAGTAAGTAAGTAAGTAAGTAAGTAAGTAAAGTAAGTAATAAGCCAAACTTCTTTGAGTTTTGTTTATAATCAGAAGGGGTTTTGTGAAGATTTTAATAATTTTATAGTTGAATTCATGAGTCAATTTAAACTAAACCACCATAGAAGATCTGTAAGCGCTCGACGGCCGTTTATTTATAGATTAAACCCGAATTGTTTAAACATACAAAAAGGCTGATATATTAAAAAAAAGTTTAGCATTTTTAGATATCACAACTTTTTATTAGATGAGTTATACAGTTTAACTTAAAAATTCAATGAATAATTATGAAGATATAATTTTTGTTTAGTACATTAACAATTTCTAAAACAGTATGAGAAGTTTTAATAAGCCTAACTTACAAAAAATCTCATTAAATAGAGAATTGGTTATATATTATTAATATTACTTGAAATTATAAAGTTTCTACAACTTACTTAAATGATAATTCTTTTAAAATATCAGGTAGAAGAGAGACCAATGCAATGTACAGAAAGCCACCGGCAGTAAATGGAAGTATCCATTTTGTTGTACAACCTGTAAAGTTGAAAAAAAAAATCACATTATGGAAAAATTTCAAATAAATAAATAGACTATGAAGTATATATAGATAATGATAATATTGATTAGCGTATTATTAGATGATAGATCAGATTACTATTAAAAACAGTTGGTTTATATTCTATAGCCAATATATTGGATCATAGACAAGAACTTAACAACTGTATTTTAACGCTTTCCATCAGTATCACTAAAGTACAGTACATATGGAATATATCGGGAAAGTACAAATTATGATAGAAGTACGGGGGAAATTAGAAGACTTTCCTCAACTTTTGGATCATTTGTCTTAGTTATCAGATGTAATTAATGTTTATAGTTTTTAGTATTTATAATAAGCTTACTGATGTATAGATAAAATAAATTTGAGTTCAATGGCAGAAGTATAAAACGTAGTTCGCCAATTAACAAACTGCTTTGTTTTGGGTATCCAGGTAGAAATCCAGTTCACACAAATATTTATGATGATCATCAATAATAATGAAACCTAGATGCTATGACACTTACAATAATTATACATTGAAATCTGTTCTATTTAGGATTATTTAGTTACTTAATATAAATTGGGTTATTTTATTTTAAATGTTGAAATACTGCGAAAAATTAATAAATTAAGCATTTTAAGGTGCTCCATCAATATATATTGGGGAGACATTCATTTAGTTAGCAAAAGTAACAATATTACACTTATATAAATGTATAAAAAACAAGCAGAGATCGGGTAAGGACGCGTCAGTTAGTTGAGATGTCTAAAAAAATCTAAAACCTGTAATAATGAAAGTGACATTTCAACTTTAAGTTTCCGGAAAATTTCATCAAAATATGAAGTGGCAAATAAACGAATTAAACAGCACTTATTCTGCTTGATGTTAGTACTACAATTGGTTGATCAAATTACGACATAATTAACAGGGTCGGGAACCTATGGGCATCTTTGAATAACACGTCGTTGAAAACAGTTGTGTAAGTAATTATGATAGTATGACTAGTGAAATAAAAAATTTTATACTATAAATCAGACATAGTTGTGCTAATCTGTATTATTATCGCGATGCTAGTTTGGTTATAAAGATTTGGTGCAGGAAGTACTTCTAGGTGAATGTGAAATCTATACTCCAAACTGTATATTTTCAAATTTAGTTGTCTCATAAGAGATGGTCGAATTTGGACACTACGTCGGGTAAATAGTTCTAAGGTACAGCAACAAGTGATTCAGCTTATCGGGATCAATATTTAATTGTTGGAAGTAATTTAAAACACTGGTTTCGGTTATTTGAGAAAGTTTTACGTACAACATTCATATGATCACCATAGAGAGTGTTGTTTATTACATCAGAATGAGTAAAAAAGACAAAGAGAAGTCAAATAGTGAGATGGGCTGCAATAGATCGGTCTCGTTTGGGAAATATGCATCATCTGGGGATTACCTCGATATTGTCATTAAGTATGATCAAGACTGATCGACTGCAGTTCATAATATTAATGAGAAGATTAGAACAACCAATACAAATTAAGTTAAAATTATTACTCATTGTACAAGCCAGTGGCTATCTAGGCTCGTTAGCTAAGTGCATAAGACGTTGTTCGTTGGAAGCGAAAAATAATGGGTTCGAATCCCGGTGTGAACATCAATACTGGAACTTGACAGATACTTCCAGTTGACGAACCCACAATAAGACGAAATATGTGCTCTGGATACCGTTGTTAGTCAACATCTAACTCTGCTTAAAAAACCGTACTTATAACAAACAGTGAAATTTACATAAAAACTAAAAAAATTATACTATTTCTCTATCTTACACAACGTAAATCTAAACATTAGTTACAACAGTTTATTTAACATACTCAAATGTCATTAAGCTATTCATAGTTTAAATAAAATGATTGTAGCGAACGATCTAAAAACAATACTTAATTTTAGTTCTTATTTATCATAAATTATTATCATTATTATTGTAACTGGTATAGACCATATATGTATATGTATAGTGTATTGAATATGGCCTTCATATACTTTATAGATTATTTTATTCATGTATATAATATGTAACAATAATCAAGTCTAGTATTATTATCAACAATAACAATCATAAAAACTGGATATTTTGTTCATTAATCATAAAAACCTATTGTTTATAATAGAATTGGAATTGAGACATTTCAAATAAAACATATTACATTAATTCAATTTAAACAGACATTAATTTTCTATGAATTTACATAAAAATTCATTAAACAAATGAATTTACTGTACATGTATATACATATCTTAAGATAACGCGATGGCGTTTGAAGCGAATGGTACTGGGTTTGAGTCCCAGAGTGAACATCAACTCTCTGAGATGCAGGTACATCCAACTGACCAGTCCCAAATAGGACGAAACGCGCGTCAAACTGCATTTCACTGCTAGCCACTATCCATCATTGCTTACAAATAGCTTGTGAATTAAGGTAATATCGAAGCATTCGCACAGTATGCACATATGCCAATAACAGACCGATCGATTGCAGTCTTAAACCTCAATGGGAAGATACAAGCCAAACAATACCAAGTGAATATCTGAAGATAGTTTTTCAATGTAATTTATATAGAATGTTTTGTTGGTTGTTCAGAATCGACTAAGAGATGGTGAAATTATTAAGAATAATTGATTTAATTTATATTATATTACATTTCTTGATCTTAAGTTGATGAACAAAGTTGGTAGGAAGTTTTTGATGAATTGTAATTTTTGAGCGAAATAGTACAATTGTGAAACTCTCATTTTCTTCACTTTATAATGTTATCAACATAAACTTATTTTTTTAAGTTGATTCTTTCTAATAAGACAATGAAAAATTTTACGATTGAACTATCCAGCTCAGTTAATGTAATGACAGTGAAATGTTTTGAATTTTAGAATTCGGATGGTACTGTGGTGTGTGCTACTTATATTGACATAAGTAGTATATGATGTTAGTCGTGAACAGAAGGTCTGGCAGCAGAAAGACAAGAGGATCAAACAATAAAGGATGGAACAGGATGCAATTTGTATGAAAATGCGAGAACAATGAAGTCTGGGTTATTTTGAGACAATTGGTGGACATTTTGCAAATTAAGTATTTACTTTATGATTGTTAGATTTTATTAACAAGTCCTGTAATTTTGCGTCTCATACATTCGATTGTCCCCACTGGTGTTTTTGTTCATTAAAGTACTGGTTGCTAGATTGTTTTCTGTGAATATCATCATTTGGCCACGTATTCAACTATATAGTCTAGTTCTTTTATATGTTATGTAGTTTGCAAGTTAGTAAGTTAAACCTATTAATGTGAACATCAGTGATATTTGTCAGCTCTTCAAACTGGAATAGGAGAGAAAGGCCTAAGTTGTAATCTAATGGATAAAATTCAAACACATAGACTACTAATTAATAATGTATCATGAATTAGAATTCTAAACTACATAACTCGTAAGATGTGATTGGATTAAAAAGTGGAATATTTACTGAATATTTTAGAAGCAGATAACCAAACAGTTGACAATGAATTAATAATTAGTCATTATAAAACTACTAAACAGTCCTAACTAAAAGATATGAAAAGTTGGAGAAGACAGTTGTTCATCAATATGATGATTCTTTAAGTAGACTAAAAATAGAAATTATATTAGCTTTCCTATGTTATCATTCATTTATTTCCTCAGTGAGTCAGAATTACAAACAAGTAAGCTCAATGAAATCCTGACAAACAAAATACTCAGCATATCGGAAAGCAAAAGTCATAAAAAACGTTGGTGATTAAAATCTGTTGATTTTATCAATTTATTGAATTTTTTTCGTTGATCCGTTATTAAATAAATGAAGTATAAAAGCATCATAAATTGTAAATAGTGTGGAGGAATTACAAATTACTTCCAAACTATCTCTAGAAGTTAAGAAAAGTTTAAAATAATTGAAATTTAGTGAATCATTCTGGCTGCATTAATACTTACCGGTTACTGAAGCATTAGCACAAAGTGTTAGAATGGCACCTAAAGTAGATCCAGATGCTGTGGCTAACTGAAACAAAAAACATTAGTTTATAAAGAATTTATTGGCAAGTTAATTGTTTTTAAGAATAATCTAATAAAACTCAATAATGACCCATACATTCTTGTACTCAAATCTTGAGACACTTTATGTGGAAGGACTGAAGAAACTAACGGCTACCTATAATAAACTAAGTGTAGTGTAGTTCAAATATGTGATGCAATTGTGTAAACACCTTAAGAAAATGAGCCACAGATAAATTTTCATAAGGAAAGAAATGACAGGAATTATCTATTGAAGGACTAAAACAGCCCTTCACACTTAATTCGGTTAAGTGACTAGCAGTATTGGTTCGACATACACAATCCTGCAAGTATCGATAAACACTTAAATTGACGATTTACAATTAACACAAGGATTACTTCAGATTAACATGAATATAGTTAGGTCTGCATTTTTGAGCTGAGTCATGTATTCCAATTTAAAGCAATAGAAGTAACTGATTTAGTATCTTCGTAAAAATTCCAAAAGGCCACTTTTGTTTGAAATTGGCGTTGGCTATGGTATATGAAATGATTATGAGAACCTGAGACTTAAAATATCTAACTTGAATAAGGTAATACAAATATTTTAGGTATACTAAACGACCATTTTCCTCACTGTGCTATGCTGTTTAGAAACTGGCACAAACATCTGAATGGTCACATCCACTCATTGTATCAGTCATTTTAGTTTAGCTCTACGTATGATGACGTTTTAATCATGTGTAGTAACAGAGATCAGGTTGGTCAATTAACTGGGTACCTCAGTTTAGTTCATCCAGATTTAAAATTCACCTGCTGGCATAAAATTTAAAACAGGATAAATTCCTCGAATTTAAAGATAGCAATAAAAGTATAGGGTTCACAGTTTTACATTTCGTTTAACTGGAGGTGACAATATGTGGGTAAAAACAACATTTGCCCAGTATCATATTGAAAAATATACTTCACTATTTCAAAACTATAGAAAATAAAATTGGAACAAGATCCCCATTAAGTTTGGCTGGAAACATCTTAAAGCAATTAGTCGCATGGTGTCTTTGGCCAAATGTAATAGGTCATAACTAGTAAGATGATGTTACTTTGATGGAAAAATCTAGCTTTATCTTTCGCCATCTTATTATTTGATTACTCTTTGCTTTTCTTACTCGCTCCTAAGGTTTGAAAACAGTGTTGGGCAAAGTAACTGCAAATAGATCATCCGCATAATAATTTTGAGTTAACTGTAGTTACCTTTTAGGAAGCCTGGGGTATAGCACAGAAGTAATAACATTGAAATCAAAGTCCTTAAATAAATTCCTGAATGTTAATGACTAAAATATTGTGTCTTGAATTCCTCCCAAAAGGTAAGTTATAACTAAATTGGACAATGTTTACAAGTAATCAAGGGTTGAGTTAGTCTCTGATTCGTTTGGTTGAAAACATACGTGATCGCAATCTTAAGAATTCATAATAAATTTTATTCATCTAATGTTATAAAGAACAACTTTGAGAGGTTTTACAACTACATATTACATACATTAAAATTTTGTAATAGCGATTCTGTTGGTTTTATCCAAATATTTTGATCTGATATTGGACAACTGTTAACCTGTTGGTCACGTAGTGTAAGGATATTTCGAATATAATATCAAGAGAGTGTAGCTTTGAGGTGCTCTCATTCAGTTACTGTAACTCATGTCAATTACTCTTTTGCATTTGCTGTAAGAGCCCAATAAGTTTCTATTTCAATTTCATAATTCATTTTCTTTTGTAAGTGATATTATCTAATTCACTGTTTATAAAAATTAAGACTAGAACTAATGTTTTGTATTGTAGTGAGTACGTGTCTATTCGTTGATCAATAACGAATTAAGTGACAAAAAGAAGCCAATTGGAATAACTGATAATTAACTCGAATGAGAAACCATAAGAAATTTGTATTTTAATGACAGTATAAAAGTTGGCGAAAATCTTGACTTACTTGAGCTTTAGCAGCTTCCCACCGACTGAACCCACTTCGGAGTAAAATTACAAAATCAGCCATTTCATGAGGAACTTCATGGACTAATATGCAGGTAGTCGTCAGAATCCCTAACTGAGATAGTCAGAATAAAATACTGTCATTTATCTGAACTGATGACATTTACCAAGTAAATATATACACATATGAATTGGAAATATTTCAGAAAATCTTATATATTATATATATTATATATTTCAATCCATTTTTGTATTGGTTGTTTGAATTCAACTGTTCATCCAGCTGATGAGTCACAAATACGATGAAACGTACGTTCCGGCCCCAAATGCCCTGGGATGCTCGATGGTGGAGAAAGTCAGCTCTCCCTCTCAAAATGTTCTCACATGGCCACGTGTATACAGCCATTGCCAGAGAAGTCCTACTCACTGCCTTCTCGTCGCGGGAGTGTTGTTTACGAAGTTGGGAGGACTGAAAGAAATTGTCTGGCCCTCTAACCAGTTTGGTGAATACGGAGGGTCTGTCTAGGGTAATCGGAAAGCCCTGATTCCAAACCAATGGTGCACATGGGCACCACGACTTTGATTGAACAAATGGCGTATGAACCAGTTGTTGGTCACCGGCTACCATAGGACTGTATCCCCTGACGTTGCTCCACTGCCTTGTGGATCAGACCTTTAGTTCGAAGGCACCGAATGTGGACCCCCTAAAAAAGCCACCTGCTTCAGTCTGGGCAGCCGGGCAGTACCACATCTCACACACAAGTAAAATGAAATGACAATTACTACTGGAAATACTATTCTTGCTTCAATTAAAATTCAGACAATTCACATTCATTTTTTTATATACTACGTCACTTATGTACTCTCTTCTACTCTCACTTTGTGTATTCTTATTTATCAACTTATACAGCAGATCGCCTATGGTGGAAGCCCTGTCCTATCTAAACGATCTCGAGGCACTGATTGGTCGAAAGTTGAATGCTACCACTGAATACGAATGCTGAAACAGTTTTTCTGAAACGAGATATACCATTCAAACTGGCTCTCTTCAATGTTCGAACATTATTGCAGATAGAACAACAGATAGGGTTGGTTGTCTTTAGAAAGTCTTTATATCGACGTCTGTTGTCTATCCGAGACCCCTAATTAAAACTCTAGTAAAGTACTATAAATTCGCTCTCCATCTGTAGCCTTGAAAGGCTCGTTTCACGTGCGTTTATCCGGGGACCTGTGGCATATTTGTCTGGTTTTGTTGGCGTTGTACTAAAAGCTAGAGCTGAGGCAGCACTGATCGAATGAATTTCAATTAACAGTCAGTTATGTGCTGTTAGATTATAAAGTTCCATCAAAGTGCGAAATCGGTGAGAAACACGATCAGTTACCGCTGGCGTGGTTGTATACGAGACTGCAGCTACTTTTGGAGTACGTATTTGAAAACTAATAGTTCTTTCGTTTGTGCGAATCTCACCTTACGTTTCAGTGACTAAAAAATTCATCATCCTAAACGGATCAATGTCAGTAAATTGGTTGCTGATTCTGTTGCAACTAAATATTAAACCAAGCCAGGTTCAAGGCTAACTACCATCTCATCGAAAAGTATGGGTGAGCATTGGTCGCAATTGCACAACGCCATGAAAATGGCAAGTAAAGTCGCTTGCGACTTCGTGAAATATCCCGCTTGTAAGCACTGGGTTTCTTCAGGCTTCTTAAAACCCATTGAAGCCCATCGCTCTACTCCAAGTGACCTCGGGTTTGACTATAAACGAGAACCACATAGTAAATAGTTAATTTGCAAAATATCAAACAATCGTCTGAGATTTCATTGTTCATGCGTTCCGTTTCTGTTATTTCCTTATCGATCTTCTGCTGAAACACATTCCATGCCTGACCACCATTAGGTACTACTTATATGGATATAAATAACCTACACCACACCTATCTTTAAAAAGGGTTCACGTCGTTTCTGTGACAACTGTAGAAGGAGATAAGTCTAGTTCCGACTGAGTCCAAATTATTGGCTTCATTGTACCTCGTAGATTGTTGAAAAAGCGAGAAAGATTGGCTCACGAGAAGCAGGCTGGTTTTCGTTCTGGTCGAGGATGTATTGATCATATCTTCACCCTCCACCAAGTGTTAAAGCAGCGTTATACTTATGCCAATCTGGGCCATCTTCGGCGCCTTCGTGATGTTAGTGTAGCTGAAAAAGGTCTGATCTAAAACGCGTGGGTAAGAGCAGCTTTACTTTATGTTTGTGAAACCGAGCTTCTCCGAGTAGACTGTGTTAAGCGACTCTTTGTGCTTAATCATCGTTGTCTCCGAAGGATTGCTGACATCCAGTGTCAACACCATGCCAGTAATGTGAAATTTCAGCATTACGTGTTTGGGCACAGTGACGACAATTCGGTTAGTGTCACTATCTTGAAGCATCACATCCGGTGGTGTGAACATGTTCTACGAATGCCTTCTCGGAGAGTTCTACGTCGTGTATTATTTACCGACGCTGGGACTGGTTGGAATAAGTGGAGAAGTGATCAGTGCATGATATGGTGTTGTAGTATGAAAGAAAGCTGTACAGGACTGGCTTCTGTTGGTCCTTCAGGACTCCCTGGTTGGGATCCTAGGGATGATGCAACACAGTGGCCTGAGACGTTATCTGATATGGCCCAGAATAGAAGTCAGCGGCGATCCCACTTAAACTTTCTTTTTTCTTCATATAAGTGGGAGTAACTTTTTTGACTGGAATTCTTCTTGGTCATAGTTCTTTTAACTGAACTGCTTTTTCTATTATTATTTCACTCTCATACAATAATTTCTGTCTGTTTTTGTTCGCCTTTTTCTTATGTGCACTTCACAATTTTTATCTCTTCACATTTTCACTGTTATTGTGGGACGCATATATATTTTGGTTCTGCTTTGTACCAATATTTATGTTTTAAAATAAATAATAATAGTAAATGAACTGGATTCCATTGCTAACCACCATCTATCTCTGATTTAAATATACTTCATTTACCTGTGACCAACTTTTTGTTATTACAACTGTTTAATCAGAAATTTCTATATTTGTGTGAGAGTTCTGATGCCCAATCGTGATACCCATATTGGATAACTATGAATGGAATATTTATATCAATCATATTAGGATGGAATGGCGAGAGACGAAACCAAGAATAGTTAGTCACATAACAGGTAAGCGGAAAATCAAAATCCTACCATTAGTTGTAATTAACTGTGTTGAAAATGATATACCGCTCATTTACAACAATTTCATTACTCACTGGTCCAGCAACAACACAATTTATAAAAATTTTGGAGACTACTAAAGATGAACTCTGAAGCTATACTATCCCTCATCTGGGTCAAAAACACAAAGGTAATCATTGCATCATTTAAAAACGAATGTACGTTTTATGATCTACCTCGGTTGCAATAAAAGACAAAAAAGAAATTTATTTTTAAGGAGTATTGAAAAGTATATATTATCGCTGGATCAAGAAGTTAAAGACACTCGGAGCATAAACATACCTAAAACGTTCATAAATTAAGTTTTTTCGTCATTCTCACTTTTACGCACAGGTTACAGAAAGCTAGAAACTTTGTAAAGGTCAACTTACACGAAGAGATACAAGATAACTTCCAGCAATAGCCACACCATGGGTAAAGTTATCAATTATATTAGCAGCAAGATTGAGATAGCCTTCGACCTGAAAAAGTAATAATGCAAACTTCCTGCAGTCTTCCTGAATCAATCAGTTGAACTGGGGGTAAAAAAAACGCTTGGTAATAATGAAACCAATTGACAGAGTAGCTAGGACAAAAACCATAAATAACTTCAGTCAAGATCTCAGATAAAAGGCCATGTCATTATCCGCACGAGACTACAAACATGGTTTGATAATAGTGGATAAATAAGCAAAATCCAGAAGATAATGGAGTTCATATCAGTCATAACGCAAAGCTGGGATCAGAATATCCGAAAACCTCAGAAGTAATGACGTGTAGCAGTCGCTATTATGGCTCAAATGATCGGTTTAACCCTGTTTAGAAATATTCCAAATAAATTAATCAGAATTGATTCCTTATGCTCTGAAAATTATGGTTCACTGCGTTATACACAAAGGAAATTTAGAAAATTATTATCTACTATATATTCCATGTGTGATAATCGACTAATTTAACTAATTAAGTTGAGCTTAATAGCATGTTAATTATTCCGAAATTAGTAGTAACAAACGCCATTAACAAAAAGCTTGAAAAAAAGAACAGATTTATATGCTGAATGTGTTTTCTTCTGTCTAATTTATAACCAAGCCCAACGAATGACCTTAATAGTGTTTAAAAACAGTAACTGCTTACCTGCTTACTGGATTACAAAGACCTCAATATCTGAGGAGAAGCACGGAATACGATGGAAAGCCTTCATGGGACTAGACGACTTGGCAGACGACCTAACCGTTCTATGCCGTACATACCAACAAATGCAGGTCAAGATAACCAGTTTAGCAGAAGCCTCTGCATCAGTAGGCCTCAACATACACAAGGGAAGAACCAGGATCCTCAAGTAACTCACGGAGAACACCAACCCAACCATACTTGATCGGAAAACTCTGAGAGAGGTGGAAAATTTCACATATCTGAGCAGCACAATCGATAAACAAGGAGGACTCGATACGGACGTAAAGGTGAGTTTTGACAAAGTAAGGGCAACATCCATACAGTTGAACGACACATATAACTCAAAACAACTGTCAACCAATATCAAAGTCAGAATTTTCAATACGAAAATCAAGAATGTCCCATTGTACGGAGCTGAGACTTGGAAAACTACCACAACCATCACCAAAAAGGTAAAAGTATTTGTAAACAGTTGTCTACGCAAGATACTCAATGTCTGTTGACCGAATGCCATGAGCAACAACTTACTGTGGGAAAGGAAAATCCAGCTACCATATGAAGAGGAAATTAGAGAAAGGCGTTGGAAATGGATAGTACATACATTATAGAAATCATCAAACTGCATGACGAGGCGAGCGCTAACTTGGAATCTTAAAGGCGAACGTAAAAGAGGAAGGCTGAAGAACACACACGTCGGGAATCGGAAGCAGACACTAAAAGGATGAAAAGTAACTGAAAAGAATCTGAAGGATTGCACAGAACAAAGCTGGATGAAGAATGCTGGTGGGCGGTCTATGTTCCACCACGAGGGGTAGCAGGCGTAAGTAAGGACAGTATCATACTTATTTTGACCAGCTCTTCATAAGGTCATCTTGTTTAAACATTACAAAGTTCACACGCTAGCTTTGATTTAGGAGTCTTAGAGTGCGGTTGTTACGCCATAATGGTAACCAATCAAAATGCATTTGACGGGTAGGTTCTATTTGCGTGACATGAAAGCCGATCAACGGTTTTTATTTCTTTGATATAATTTCGCTTATATGGGGATAGTTTGTCGGTAAATCTGCTCTTAATATAGCCTCTGACGGTATCCAGAGAAAGATCTTGGTAACATACAATGTTAGAAAGTAGCAACGAATAAAGAACAATAGTTAGCTTGATTTTTTTAATGGTACGAGTAATTATGTGGATCATTTTTACTGATGTTCAATTATAATTTATGTGTAGAACTGTTTGACTAATAGGGAGATAGTAGTTTATACTGGATAATAAAAAAAATCAAATAATTGTGTTACGTCATGACATATCATAGTCAAACGTCAGAGGTTGTATCAGTCTTTCACAACCACAGATAACATGAAACGAAGACAAGTTTTGGTCAGTAAGTTTCCTCAATTATTGCATTTGTTTTGACAGCTTTGTAATAAGGAAGTCGAATTTAAAACTATAGACAAGGGAATGAGCAAACTTAAATACGGTTGACGTATTTAAATACTGTCGGTTTTGAAGTTATGAGTAGAATGGATTCACGTTCACATGAAAATTTTTCTGATGATACAAACACATCTAAACATTGTCTCGATCAAAATGTAAGGGTCAATTTTTTTCGCCGAAGTCCGATTTTTGGCACTGATCTTTGGTTTAAGAGTGTGACATCCACCAACATCTAACGACATGATAATAAAGTGAAGTTGGTACTAATGTAAAATATCTTAAAAATCGTGATAGGCAAGCGGTTAAAACCACATGGAAAGCCGTTACAAGCAAGTGGTCGATGTCAAAACTAATACCAGAATGAATCACACACCATCCAAAACTGTACTATTAGAACAAAAATTTCATTTTTGAGACAAAAGTAAGACAAAGGAGCAAATATGTTTACATTGTTAAGCTGAAGTACTTCACCATATGTATAGTGAAAGACGTACCTCTTTTTCAGTAGAATCATTAATACATAACTTCTCGATAATGAAAAACAGCAGAAGTCCACTGAGTATCCAAAATCCAGGGATCTGAAATGTGTCGATGTCACCTACGAATTATAAATAGCCAACAATATTGTTGGTTTGTGTCGTTAACATTTAGCCACACTTACTGTTAATCCAGGATTCTGGCAAAAGGTGGATAAAAACTTCACCAAGGAGACTTCCAGTAGCATAACTAAGCCACCTATTAAGAGAAATCACATCTGGTTTTATAAGAAATGATGGTAATACCCAGTTACCTTTCCTATGACATATACTATCTAGTGGGAGAAATAGAAGCGGAACTACACCACTAAGTCCAACAACGAATGCAGAAAAAATGCACAAAAGCCCTCTCCCCCAGCTAAGAGAGCCAGGGGATAAAAGGATCTCTAGCATCGTCCTAATTAATTACGAAAACACAGTCACATTTAAAAGTGTTACTAGTTAAAAGAGTACCGCATCTTGGTCTACTGAAACAAACTTATAAACCTTAGTCATTCCATGTCAAGGATTAAGAGTTTTGGTAACGAAGCTTTGGAATTTTTTCGTGCATCTGCAAAAAGCTAACTTCGAACTTCATGTAGAAAATTAAACTCAGCTTGAACGATAAGCAAATGTGAAGCCTGCATACGTTTTTATTTACGATCACGTACTCTCAGGAAAACATCATAAAGCCCAAGGTTTCGATTTCATTTATTAAAAGATCAGTGCAAAGTTTGTCTGGATGGCTAGCAAGTTTACTTAGTGAATGCCTCCGCCTCTTCAACTGACATTGACTAGACGTTGTATGAAATATTCAGATGTCATTTATATTGAGTGTTCTGCATTACGATTTTATGATACGGCACTCATTAACTAGACGCATCTTTATTTTTTATATACCATTACAGGTTTATGTATTCGCATTTTAGGAGATACTTACCCATTATTCCTATAGGGTTACTGTAATTCAATGAACAAATTTAAGTAGCATTTGTTAAGTTCACCTGCGCTCAATCTGGGACCGAGGACGATCTGGGTTATCTCCCTCAGTATATCTCCGATTTAGTGATCTTGTCATCCTTGGCTTAGATGTAAATGACTTCCAAGCACTATCGAAAACGTTTGTTTGAACGACTGTTTACTTTTCATTTGGCAATGAGAAATCAATTGCTGGGTTTCAAACACAAATACACAGGAATGCGGGTTATTTGAAAACGTCACTTCGCTTTTATACCAGCTGGTGTTTTAGTGCCGAGGTGTAAACCGTATATATTATGGCCACTTTCTTGAATATGTTCGCGAATTTTAGAAGAGGCACAAGCCTTGTTGTCTGTCAGCTCACTGTATTATTGTAGTTACTGTTTATATAGTTCAGCACATTTTACGAATCATCTCATTCTGTGATAGTGTGGGACTAGAATTTAGTAGGAAATCGTCGAAATAGCTTTGTTCAATCGTCAGGCCTACTCCTCATACTCATTCGTAGGATCGTTAAAAGTCACGTTGGTCAGGAAAACTAATAGTGGAGGAAAGGTCGACAGAATCTTCTAACAAACTATTTTCAATCTCCGTTGAAAGTGATTTCTTGCAAGAGTGACGCTTTCACTTAAACAGGTGTGGTCTAGTTTCGGCTTTGTTAGAACTAAATTTTAATACTCTGGGAGACGAAGAGACAACTCAACATGTGAACCCGTTCAAATCTCACAAATAGAATGTTCAAGTAAGCGTTCCATCGTTTTAGTTGTGATATACTTCATTATAAATAAATAGAAAAATGCATCAGGATGATCATATTGGGTTTCCAGATATTTTTCATACTTTTCAAAGTAGAAACGACGAAATTCGCTCCACCATTATCAGCAGAACATCAAATATCTATGAAGAATCTGCTTGATATGTTTACTGTAGACTATATGTATGCTAAATGGTATCGAATGGAACAGACATAAGATTACTCAATTTTTATTACGAGTCATTGTACACTCATCCATATGATTACTTATGAACTTTTTTGCATGTTTTCAAGTGAGTGTACTTATTCCGTCATCTCTTTAACTACCGTACCTTATTTCGTCTATGAAGTGTAAGAATTCAGGACGTCTATATTTCTGGGACTGGTGGGATGTCAAAAAGTCCTAGCTTAATCGTCCATCACGCTGAACTATTTCCATGTTTGATGGCAAATTATTGTGTTGAACATGCGAACGAGCCTGGTTGAGGTCAATAATAACCATAGCTGATTCATTAGACTTACACCACAGATTGTCCTATGCGTTCCCAACTCACACATAACTGGTCCTTTTTAGCTGGTAAACGCTAGCCTTTCAACGGGAATTCACTTATTTAATATTACTTACTTACGCCTGTTACTCCTCGTGAAGGAGCATAGACCGCTCACCAGCATTCTCCACCCAACCCTGTCCTGGGCAATCCTTTCTAGCTCCGTCCAGTTGTAATTCATCGTTTTCATATCTGCTTCTATTATCCGACGCAATGTGTTCTTTGGCCTTCCTCTTGTTCGCTTCCCTTCAGGATTCCAAGTTAGGGCTTGCCTCGTGATGCAGTTTGACGATTTGCGTAATGTATGTCCTATCCATTTCCATCGTCTTTTCCTAATTTCTTCTTCAGCTGGAAGTTGGTTTGTTCTCTCCCACAGAAGGCTATTGCTGATGGTATCCGGCCAATGAATGTTGAGTATCTTGCGTAGGCAGCTATTTATAAATACTTGTACCTTCTTGTTGGTGGTTGTTGTAGTTTTCCAAGTTTCAGCTCCGTACAGTAGAACTGCCTTGACATTCGTATTGAAGATTCTGACTTTGATATTGGTTGGAAGTTGTTTTGAGTTCCATATGTTCTTTAACTGTAGGAATGCTGTCCTTGCTTTGCCAACCCTTGCCTTTACGTCTGCATCTGAACCTCCTTGTTCATCGATGATGCTTCCTAGGTATGTGAAGGACTCTACATTTTCCAGAGTTTCGCCATCAAGAGTGATTGGATTGTTGTTTTCCGTTTTGAATTTGAGGACTTTGGTTTTCCCTTTGTGTATGCTGAGGCCTACTGATGCACACAATTATGGTCTGTAAAAACAGTGTCTATGATATCGCGTCTTTACCATATGCTATCATAATCCCTGATTTTTCTGTCTTAATATGCCGAAAAGAAATATGATCATCAAACTGGACAGATGATAATGAACTACTGATCTCCTCTCTGTAGGAGCGTTCAGAAGATAAAAACAAAATTATTAGAGTTTTAGTGATATAGAGTTTGGAGTTTATATACATTGTAGCCGTGCGTTTGTATTGCGTGAATGTAACTTGCTTGATTATTAGATGTGTAACTAGTAACCACCCAGGAATCTTAAATTGTAAATCTGAAAAGAAAAAGCGAAGCCTTAATATTAGGAACACGTGCGCAAAATGGTGAGCTGTGATCTTCACTAGTGTGTTTTAATGGTGCAAGTTTTCGGAATCATTTAGAGGGATAGCTTCTGAGGACAGTGAGTTTGAGCGGATTACACATCAATCAATTTTTAATTTTGGGCTATATGAATGCTCGTTTCAAAATATATTTTACGTTTTTGTCCACATTAAGTAGTGTGTCGTTAAAGTTCTGGACCAATAACAGTCCAAGTCAGAATATCTGTCAAAACGTTCAAAGCTATGTTATGTCTCCAAATATTAAGTTCTGGAATAATTCGAGTAAATCTATTCATTTATGGTCATGGGAAAAGCAATTATTCAGAAGGATGACTGAGGTGGAATCTTGTTCTCTGAGAATGATGGTTTGGTCTTGGAGCTGTCGCCGTTTTTTCGTAACGAAATCATTATCACGAACCTCAGGTACTTGAAGATCAACAAATACTAAGATGAACGATTGATTTACAGACACCGTCTCAACATATTTTGATTATGAAATACCCATTAACTGGTGCATGCACACTGACCTTTTGTGTCATGACAACATACTTAGATCCTTGGGTATATATGGCTGATAGCAACGTGTTCAGCCGCTCACATGAAAATACAACTCTTTTGGCTTAATGTTCTGTCACAAGTTCGCTATCACAGATCTAGTGGTTGTTGTCTGGCCCTGTTAAGAACACCAGTTTAACCGTACAAAAGTGCTATGGAAACAAATATTCCACTGAACTTCGTAAATTATCTCTTTTGTGTGACGGCGTTGTTACGAAGCCGGATACGCGATGAGTTGCATAGATTTGTATTGGTATTAGTCCTAATTACACAGCCCTCGAAGCTGAACGTAAGATGACTGAGGAAATTCAAGTTCAAAAATTGACACTAAGAAAAGGTCGAAAATGGAGAGGACGATAACAATTAATTAATTCAACCGGACGGCATAGCCCAGCGTCGCAGCCATGATCATTTTGTTTAACTTACCCTGATTCACATTTAATATATTATCCTATCGTCAGCCACAATGTGTCCTTTAGAAGTACTAAGTATTATATTGGTAAGTGTTAGGATACGATGAGCCAGTGTAGACAATGGTGTGACTTCCATATACGATCTTATGGATTTGGCAGTCACATCATGACATCTAAGATTTGATGATAAGGTCTGTTATTACATCAGTACTAAAAACGAAACAGACCATAATTCTACAAACTTACTTCATGCATTCATTTATCGAGAATAAAAAGTGAGAAAATAAAACAAAGAGGGCAAGTGAGACAACTAAATTTGATCAGACCTTGCTCGATAATAATAGATAGACCAAAAAAAGTTACAGACACGTCATGAATAAAGTAATAAATTGATACACATTTGCTCATATGAACACCGTCATGGTAATAAGCGAGTAATTGCTACGGTTAAAATGTAACTTGAAAATAATGAACAGATCGGTCTATCCGGAAACTAGAATGATCCATGTTGGCTTGACATAGTACAGTACACTAAAGATGAGAAGTCTATTGATGGCGTTAATAAAATTGCTGTCAAAAATTTTATTAAAATTTATGGTATCAATAACTCTCAATAAATGGTTGCATTCGATTCCGTCTTTAGCATCCATTACTTGTCAACTGCGCAATCTACTTGGGCATGTGACAGGTCAACAGAAAAATATATGCAATCTGAAGAACATGCAGCACTCACTGGCCCATCTGAGTTCCAAAAACATCCTGTCGTCCGCTGAGATAAAGTATACGAGTGTAGATTACACGATGGATACTGCACAGTACGATGGAATCGAACATTATAACCAAAGTACCATCTGTAAACTATAGAGTTATTAATTATCCAACAGCCCAAATATATTTCATGCCAATGAAACCATTATTATCTGGGTCAGCAAGAATATTTGGTTCGGACATACTAACATTTCTGTTGGAACTTCGTTCCTCATAAATATAATCAGGAACGCGGTCAGAAGCCTAGACAATAACGCTT